GTGTGCAGTGGCTGGGCCTGGCTGCGGAGGCCCCCCCTGTGCCAAGTGTCACCCCCCCATAGACCGTGTAGGGCCGAGGCTCCGGCCTGGCTCTGTCCCAGCCAGCGGAAGCCGCTGCCCCGCAGGGTCCTGACCAATGTTCCCTCTGAGCTGTGGAGTCTTGTGAGCAAAAATTCAACCTTGTGAGCTACTGGCTTTAAAGTTGTGAGCGAGCAATATGGCTACTGCATAAATCAGTTTGCTTTGGAGCCATCCTTTCTGAGCCAAGACAAAAATGCGTGAGCTGGAGGCTAAAAAACTGCGAGCGAGCTCACACTAACTCAGCTTAGAGGGAACAGTGGTCCTGACCCAGACCAGGAGGAGGTGTGGTGGATGGGGCGGGAACCCTGCAGCCGGACTCTCAGCACCTCCCGCGGGGAGGCCTGGGGGATGCCTACCCACCCTTCCGGAAAGGTCTCAAGCCCTGGGGAGGGGGGGGGAGGACAGGTGGTGGCAAAGCTGTGAGGTCAGTTGAATGGGGTGGTGGTGGGGTGGGGGGGAAATAAGCACCCTATCTCCAGCATGAGACGAGAGGTCGCAAGTCCCCCCCCAGCAAGCGGGGAGAGCCGCGTTCTGCAGGGCTGAGCCTCTAGCAGGAGGGCCCCACAGACCCGAAGGCGACAATGCAGGGGGGTAGATTTCCTCCACACCCACACACACACCCCTGCCAGCCAAGGACGCTGCCGTCTCCCCCTTGCTCCTTGCCGTGGAGCTCCGGAGGGGGGGGCTGCTCTGCCCACTTTGAAGGCCTTCCCTTTACAACTGCCCTTTCCAGCAGCGGAACCAGACATAAGCGGTGCTTTAAATTCAACATCCGCCATTAATATTTCATGATTACAAAGCGCTCCGGATAATGTCACTGGCAGGAGCGTCTGGACAGTTAAAATGGATGAGTCAGAGTTTCCTGACAGGGAGACGTCGGCACGCCAAGGCCCGGCCCGGCCCAGCGCCAGCAGCCCTAATGCGGCCTGACAGCCCTGCCGCTCGCCTGCCGGGGCGGCTGATGGGCCTGCAAATCGGAGCTGCCGGAGTGGGTGGGGGGTGGGAGAGAGCGGCCTTCTGGGGCCTGTCGCCTCCAATCTGCCGCACGGCAGCCCTTCCGCCCCACGGGGTGGCCCGGCCTGGCTCTGCCGGGCAAAGCAAAGCACAGGAGGGCAGGGGCACTTCCCGGGGGGGGGCGGTGTGGCTCTAAAGGTCAGGACTGATGGGCTCGCGGGCAGAGGCACCCGGGGCCAGGCCTGCCCCCTGCTCCGCCAGCCACGGAACCACCCCCCCCACCACACGCCAGAGTGCCCCCCATCCGCTGCGCCTGGTCAGCTGGCTGGCCCCTCCCGCCAGGCCACACCCCAAGACAGGAGCCTGAAGGCTGGGCAACATCTGCCCCTTGGGCAGGGAAGAGCAACAGCTCCGCAAACCCTGCTGGCCTCTTCCACACCAGAGAGAGGACAGACCCCCCCCCCAGCAGGCATCCAGGAGGAGGCCCCTCTACCCTTCCCCCCCAGCAGACCCAGGCCTTTGCACGGAGGGTTTGGGCTGGCCCGGTCTCCCCCGCACATGCCATCAATGCACAACAGCCCAGCCCCTGCAGCTATTCGGAAGGAAGGAAGGAAGGAAGGAAGGAAGGAAGGAAGG